ATAATCTATGGGAAAATTAGGTAATATTTCAGTCGATAATCTACTTCCCCAAAGTCGATAATCTACTTTCCTTAGATAATCATTTTTCGAAAGTAGATAACCAACTTTCCGGAAAGTAGATATTTACTTATGATAAAATTTCCTTTCTATGATAAGTAGATAACCAACTTTCAGAAAGTAGATATTTCATTTTCATATAAATTCTGTTTTTATGATAATCTACTTCAAAATTAGGTAATATTTCAAAAGTCGATAATTTACTTCAAAAGTCGATAATTCATTTAAAAGTAGATAATCTACTGAAAGATAAACCAACTTAAAGTAGATATTTCCATTTATGATAAAATTTCTATGATAAGTAGATAACCAACTTTCTGAAAGTAGATATTTCCATTAGTTATATACCGTTTTGATAATCTACTTGGGAATATTAGGTATTTAAATAGATCATTTCAAAAGTCGATAATCTACTTTCCTGAAAAGTAGATAATCTACTTTTCGGGAAAGTAGATCACCAACTTTCCCAGAAAGTAGATATTTCCTATTTTCTGTTATATAAATTTCCCGTTTTCTATGATAATCTATTTCCCAAAATTAGTAATATTTCCAAAAAAGTCGATAATCTACTTTCCTGAAAAGTAGATAATCTACTTTTCGGGAAAGTAGATAACCAACTTTCCCGGAAAGTAGATATTTCCCATTTTCTGTGATACAAATTTCCCGTTTTCTATGATAATCTACTTCAGAAAATTAGGTAATATATCTCAAAAAGTCGATAATCTACTTCCTCAAAAAGTAACCGGTTGGAATTATCTCACTTAATTATTGTTTTTTTTAGTATAGTGGGTGGTAATGCAGTGGAAGCGCCCCTCAGAGAAAATCCCGAGCCAGCACAAACACAATTATTTTAATAATATTCTCCGTGACCATGTTAAGTTAGCACCTGTGATTGGGTAAATGAGACACACTGTAAAAGAATGACACTTCTATTCCCTCCAACACTACAAACACAATCAATAATAGTACACCAACATTAGCACACCTCTCAAACATGGCTTAAAACACTACACTGGGGAACAAAGTTATACATGGTATCAAAAATATTAAGAAATATTAAATGCCATATGAGAAAACTACCAAGGTAACAGTACTACTTACACCAAGATGAGGAACAGTTCCCTCGTTACCTTCCATCACTTAGTGGCACATAAAACATTAGAAAACACAGCAGGGCACCAATGAACGTGCCTTAAGGAAATCCGACTAAATAATAGCATAACAAAAATTAAGAAATATTAAATGCCTTAGGAGAAAGCTACTAAGGTAACAGTATTACTTACACCAGAATGAGGAACTCATCTGGAACAGTTCCCTCGCTATCTGACATCCCTTAGTGGCACATAAGGTATTAGAAAAACATCACCTACACCGGTGAACATGCCTTAAGGGCATCCGACAAAGTAATAGCAATTACTGAGAAATAACATCAAAAATATTATAATCCTAAGTGTCCTAGAACCCGAAGAGTGTACAGTAAAAGTCCAAAAATCAGGATGCCAGAAATCCGGACCACCCGAGAATCCAGACTTTTCGAAAACTCAACCTTTTTTGTTTTGTTTTTTAGCTGGCTTTTGTGTGTATGTGCACATGCGTGAGTGCCACAGCTGCACAGCGACAACAAGTGACCACGCGGTCGCAACTTTAAAACGAGCAATCAAACTGTGACAACGTATGTAATTTTGAGTCCTACTCTTTCCATTTACAGAGCCCATAATAATGGCTCCTAAAGTAGATAAACTTCGTTGTGAGAAGAGAAAGAACACGTTGAAAATGAGTGACAAACTTTAAATAATTTAAATAGAACGTGGTGTGAGCAATACTGTTCTAATGGAAACATACAACATTAGAAAGTCTACAATTTATGATATAAAATAGGCAAAGAATAAAATTCTAGAATTCACAGCTTTTTCTTTAAAACTGCTCGTTTTGATAAATGAAGCATGCTATATTTGCTAATGAATAAATTATCAAAATGTATCTGTTCATCTCTTCTTTATTCCTCCTTAAATTTGAATTTTAAAAGTACTGCCTGAGAATCTGGAAAATCCGGACCGACCCAATCCGCAAACAGTCCGGATTTTTGGACTTCTACTGTAATACTAACCTGCCAAAGGGGCAAGCATTTACAAGAAACCCGAGAAAATAAACTCATGACCCATCAGGCAGGCGGGTGCAGGTGTTCCGCTGTTCTTTCATTACTCTCTCGAGATTTCAGGAGTCGTGAATGCTTTTCTCCACCAATACCCGTACTATGCTTCACACACGTAGGTTCTGAATGCACCCGTACTTCAAGGTATTAACAGCCTTCCACAACTTTTAGAGAGGAATTTTTACATCTCACGTGTGTAGTCAACCATGAGGACGTTGATCTCACACATGGACTTAGCTATACTAAATCACACTGGACTCCCAACACCCGTAGCATGCCCCACACCTACGCTCAGAGCACACCCACTAGACTCCAGGTCTCAGTGTGACCCTTCCTTCACTCCTGCTGCACTCAGTTTTTTGCTCAGTACACCCATGGACGGGAAGAGAAGGACCGTCAGCAGGTGACCCTGTCCAGCTGAGGGAGGAGTTCTATTTTCCCCGTCAGATAGATTTGGCACCAACTGAATGAAGATGTGTGGTGTTGAATGAACCAAGGTGGGAAGATTTGATGACCTAGAACGATCATCAACCAAGGGCGGACGCTGGTCCCACGTAGTTAGTTGTCAGGGACACTCGTTCACTTCTGGGGCCCCAGCTAGACCCTCGCTAACGAGTGGTCAACACAGACAGCTCACTCCGCTCCAACCGCAAGGGTTCTGAGAAACCCTGCAAAATACTCTCTGTTAGCTATTGTTAACTTCCTCTCCGCCCTATCTAAACCCTGTCTGAGATCGAATAAAACTGTATGGCAATGGGTAATCCACTCTCACCTGTATTAAGCAACCTGTATATGGAATTCTTTGAAAAGAAACTATTAAGTAATATCTTACCACCCTCAGCAGTCTGGTTTAGATATGTTGATGATGTATTATGTCTCTGGCCATGTAATGAGGACCTAAAAGCTTTCCTGCCACAACTTAACAACTTAGCCCCCTCGATCAAATTCACTGTGGAATTAGAGAAAGACTGTAAATTGCCATTCCTAAACTGTCTGATACACAGAATAGGTAACACTTTTAAGTTCAGTATTTATAGAAAACCAACTAATGTGTGTTCATACATTCATTATTATTCTGCCCACCATAATAAAGTCAAACAGTCAGTATTTTCAACAATGTTTTTACGTGCCTTGAGAATTTGCAGTCCGGAATTCATCGATGAGGAATACAAATATATATACAATATTGGCTCAAACCTTAAATACCCTAGATCTTTCATAGACAAATGCCAAAACATTACTAAGAAAACTTTTTATAGAACTGATCCCAAGCCCACCCATGACCATAAGAATATCTTAATATTACCATTTCACAAAAATTTCTCACACATTCCTTCACAACTAAAAACCTGGAACGTCAATGTGGCATTTAAAAACTCATGCACTGTTAAACAAATGTTAATCAAGAACTCCCCCAACAACACAATTGGTTGCATTTATAAAGTTCCTTGCAAGGAATGTAATATGTTTTACTTAGGCCAGACAGGAAAAGATCTTGCAACTAGAATTAAACAACACAAATACAGTGTTAGGACAGGCCAGGAATCCAATGCTCTGTTTGTTCATTTGAGGGATAACAAGCATTGCATTGACTGGGATAATGCCTCCTCAATATTACCATGTAATTCAATTGATAGTAGGAACATCATAGAATCTAGTCTTATTAAACATACAGAAGCATTCAACATGAATTTGAGTAACGGCATGTACAAGCTGGACAATTTTGTAATTAAGAAGATTTGTAACCAGGTGAGAAGGCCGGGTCACCTGACCATCTGACCTGACCACCAACCGTTGTGTGCTATTTAAAGATTAGTAGGGTCATTACCTAATACCTGACCATTGTGGACCTGGTCTCACCCTCCTCTGTATATATACACCTTGGTTTGTATTTCTCTCTCTAGTCTGTACTCACCCCTGAAGATGTGAATTACACGAAAGCGCTTGGGAACTTCGTGTTTTCTTCTTTCCTTGTGGTTATCAGCATATATATATATATATATATATATATATATATATATATATATATATATATATATATATATATATATATATATATATATATATATATATATATATATATATATATATATATATATATATATATACATACATACATACATACATACATACATACATACATACATACATACATACATACATATACATACATACATACATACATATATATATAATATATATATATATATATATATATATATATATATATATATATATATATATATATATATATATATATATATATATATATATATATATATTGATACAGTAATACCCCGCTTTACTCGTTTCTACATTTATGCGGTACCCCGCAAAAACCGGAATGTTCACTTTACGCGGTGCATCTACTCAGATACACGGAAAGTGGTGAGGGCAGGGTGCGCACAAGGTCGCCCAGTCATCAAAACATTACCGAGTTCTTCACCCGCCACCCACCACAGCCAGCCCAAATAAGTGATAGTGATAGTGAGGATATGGACTTTGAGGGGCTTGAGAAAGAGGCCCTGCAAACCTCTGTGGTGGATAGAGATACAATTGATACAAGTGATACAGGTGAGGGCCAATAATCTGCCCTCTGCCTCAGAACCAACCCCCCATCCCCGTGTGCCCAGCCATCTTTTCTACTAATGTAAGTGATAAAAAACCTAATATTATTGATATTTCTCTTAATTATTAATTGTGTGTGCATACCATCATAAAATTAAGAAGTTATTTTTACTACAACATAGGTATTGTGTCTGAAAAAGTGGAGTTTCGGGGTTGGCCCAGTCTCTATTTCAATTAATCCCATATGTTCTGTTGTTCACTTTACGAGGGCCTCCGTGGGTTCAATTGACTGCGTAAAGTGAGGTATTACTGTATATCTATTTAGATATATACTGTATATATATGTCTGTGAACAGTGATTCCAGATACATATGAATGTCTACTCACTGGCGATCTCCGGTGCCACACCTGAAAAATACGAATTTATTTATTTAGAATTTACTCTAGAAAATTAAATACAAAAATATTTTCACTTGTTAAAGTCACTTTCATAGAATCAGTGACCATTATGTTCCACACTTTTTCAATGTGATTTTTTATGATCTCGGAAGGTGGCTGTTTTGTATAAGGGGTAAAGGTGACATTTAAAAGTAAAAAATAACTTCCCCCATCCTGGAATTAATGGGAGAAGAACCCTCATTCATGCATATAGCTCATTAGGTTCCTAAGTTATACCATGTTTTTTTCAACTTGGCTGACAGCAGTCATCTTGGATTTGGAGGCCAAAATGACCCCTAAACCAAAAAATTGACTATCCCATCATATTTCGCACCTCAACATTAGTGGAAAATGACCCCTCATTTATGATTTAGTTCAAATGTTATGACCACCGGTGACCATTTTGGAATTGATGCTCAAGCATGGTTAGCTCTCTTTATATCAGATGTACACTCACGCGCCATAGTTTCAATGCACCCTGTATCCATACTCCTGGCTTGAGGGAAGTCATGGTCAGGGCTGCAAACCGAACGGTCCCTCTTGTATGGTGATGTTAAGTATCGTGATGGTAAGTAAAGTGCTGTGAAGTCACTAAAAAACCTGTATCTTGCATATACATGTATTCTCTCTCAAATATTATATCATGAACTACTATTTGGACAATTTAGCGAAGCTTCGAGCTACAATATTGCACCACGACGTTTTGTTTGAAGCCAAGGCTACGACTTCCATAGAGTCAGGAGTAGGGGAAGAGGGTGCATAAAAAATCTGGTGCGTGAGAGTACATAGGAGATTAATCTTTTCTAAATAGTCAAAGGTACATAGATCAACTATAATAAAATGACAGGAGTCATAGATTCCATGAAATTTACTCTACTATATCGTCTTTGGATGCCTGAAACACCCAAATTTGACTAAATTAATAGCAGGGTTATAGTCTAGGGTCCCTGAAACATGGAAATTTGTTTGAAAAATGACACCAAGGCTATATAGTCTTGGGTACCTGAAACTCTAAAATTTGCCTGTAAAATGACACCGAGGTTATTGTCTAGGGTGTCTGAAACGCCCAAATTTGCTGTAAAATGTCACCAAGGCTTTATATAGTTTTAGGTGCCTTAAACACCCAAATTTGCCTGTAAAATGACACCAAAGCTATTTTAGTCTTGTGTGCCAGAAACAACAAAATTTGCCTTTAAAATACAGGAATACCTCATTATTCTCAACCCCGCTTATCCACTACTGATATTGTATTCACAAAGATAAATTCTGATATCTTAGAGTAAAATTCATACCACGCAGGGTACACCGCACCTCTTATATTTCACTGAAAGACCCGCTTCACACGAGCAGGTTTTTTCTGAGCATGAGGACTCACGCAGTTTAGAAATTAATCAAGTTCAATGGGACCTTTCATACGGAGCACGCGTAGTACTTTAAAACCCCAGTGAGAAAAAACAAGCCGAGCATTCTAGAATTCTTCATATGGCAATGGTAAATGCTAGTTTAAATATTTCTCTATCTTTCTCTCACTCACCTAAAACCGCTACAGGTCCATTAGCACCCAAGTCATCCGTGAAATACACGCTGTGAAGAAGTCTTACTACCCAACCAAGCTGCAACACCTGAAGCAGACCAACATCAGTCAGTGGTACGGTAAGCTTAATGAACTTTGTAAACAAAACAATAAGACACACCCCCTCCCTTTCTTTAGCCATCGCCACTAATGGTGATGCAGCTAAGCAATCAAAAACTATTTTGCAACTATATGCCAGATGCTCCTGGGTTGACACAACCAGTTCCCTGCTAACCTACCGGCCCCCTGTCCCACTGACTTAGTGGAAGAATTTGAAGTAGCAAAACGTCTGGGCAAACTGAAGTTAAAGCGCTCCACCAACGCCTACTGATTTACCAATGAAACTCTACAAAGAGTTCTCCCCGGAAATAGCTAAACCCCTCTGCTCCATCATCGATGTTTCCCTCAGTCAAGCAAAATGCCCAGCTGACTGGAAGACCTCATGTGTGTCACCAGTGCCCAAGTCAACGAGCCCACAATCCTTAAATGATCTATGCCATCACACCAGTACCCAACTTAATCTGCCAAAGTTTTGTTTTTGAGTGTGCCTATGCTGATATTGCAGGTGCCATAGACCCTCAGCAATTTGGCAATATGAAAACTTCCTCCACTACTCACTGTATTGTCAGCTTTCTTGAATATATATACCGCCATCTAGAAAACACAAATGACGTCCATGGCTGTCGCCATCATTGACTTAACCAAGGCATTTGATCAAGTCGACCACAATTTAATCAACAAAGCTACCAACCTCTGGTTTCAGAGAAGTCTTATACCATGGCTTACAGACTTTTTTAACGACCGACGCCAAGCCGTATGCTTCCGAGGGGGCTGTCTCCACGTTTTAGTCACTCACCTATGGCTTCCCCCAAGACTCTGCTTCCTCATGCTTATTAATGATGCCCTAAGAGAAACCTCTGCGTGCTGGAAATATGTTAACAACTCCACCATTGGGATCAGTGTGAACAACTCGGCTCCCAACTATACCACCCTCCAGAATATAATAGTCTCCAAAATTGGGCCACCAACAACCATGTTACCCATCAAACATACCACGACCATGGTTATGCACATCAACATCATTTCTGACCTTGTCCCACCTCCCTCCTTTACTTTGGGCTTCCAACACATTCCAGGTTGTGGACTCCACCAAGCTCCTCGGCATCACTATAGATAACAAACTACTGTAACTTGGAAAACACAAGTAAGTACAATTGTCAAAATCTTCCAGTTTCCGTCTCCACCTCCAACGCTGACTCAAGTACCTCGGAGTTCACGCACCCAAGTTCCTCAGTGTCTACTCAATATTCATACTTCCCAAGCTCGCCTATGCCTCCCCTGCCTGGTCTTCCTCCCGAAATGCCACAAAACGGAAACAACTAGAAAAAGTGCAGAAGAAACCATGCAAGATTATTCTCTCCCCCTCCTACTCCACATACCAAGAAGCACTCAACACACTGACCCTCTTGGCTCTCTCTGATCATCACCACGACCTCACCTGCAAATTTGGTGAGAAGATTGGTGAGGATCTCTGCTTCCACCTGAGATCCCTCGAACGCAAATAGCTGTTCGACACCACAACCTCATCTAGCCCATACGAGCACGTATTGATAAGAACAGCCCAGTCCCAACCATTGCAAAAATCAACAACTCATAGTCAACCAGTGTGTTCACTCCCAGCCAATCTTACCTTTTTGCACTGTTACTATGTTGAAATGCCCTGTAGTATGACCTTCTCCTCACCTTGTTATTATATATCATATTTGTATCACTTATGTTGCCCGTATATTTGTCAATCAAGTGATCCATTCCCCAATTATGTAACTGTATATTTTCAGCCTTCTGGCTGCCATGCTCTTTCAATAAACTGTTCATAATAATAATTATTATTATTACAACTGTATTGTAATTAATATTAATATTATTACATACACACACACTAAAATTACTAGCACTACAAACAATTAAACAACACTCACCACATCATTAAAAACACTGCTCACTTTAGTTACAAAAGTTGAGCAAAAGAACTTGTCAAAAACATAAATCAATGATAGTGACTGCTACTGCCCTCAAGTTGACAACAAGACAAAGCACTTTAGAGTCACAATAAAACATACCAGTAGCCAAATACCTCTAATACATCATGTTCAGCAACCCCAACAAGTTTTACATGTCAACTAACTTTAGCCTGAAACTCTGAGGACACATATTGACTAAGCTGTCTTGAAGCAGTCATTAGCAATTGGATGAATACTTGAAAGTACCTTATTCCGGTCAAGCCTCGCCCATCTCTCCCCCCCCTACCACGCCATACGTACAGTTCCATGCACGTGCATGTTAGAGAGATGAATTTGATGCCATAATGATCCCGAATAAATTCTCTGTGATATGATTCCAATATGATATCCCTAAAAAAAATTTTCAACATGATATGATGGGGATTCCATTCATTTACAGTAATACCCCAATTTACGCGGTCAATTGAACCCACGGAGGTCAGCGTAAAAGGAGAAACGCGTAAATGGAATAACAGAACATATGGGATTAATTGACATAGAGACTGGGCCAACTCCCAAACTTCACTTTTTCCGACACAATACCTATGTTGTAATAAAAATAACATCTTAATTTTATGATGGTATGCACACACAATTAATATTGAAGAGAAATACAGTCACCAGGTTAATGTCCATTCAAATAATGGACTCAACCCCCCCCCCTCTTCCCAAACTCGCTGGCTCGTCCCTCTCTGAGAAATGTTTGGGTGAAAACACTAGATTTTAAGGTATAGTAATAAATAATACCTCAGACTAAAGTTAGGATATTATAATTGACATTGCTGGATTCCTTGCAAGACCAGGAATATTTTGAATATACACGTCATATATTTTGCACAAAAGATAATATACTTGCTCTGTGTAAACAAAATTCTTACATTACATCTAAAATGTGTATGTCTAATGCAAAATCCATGATGTTTATATTTAAAATGATCATCATATTGTAAGAATTCCAGCAATGTAAATTATATTCTGGCCGGGTAATTTGTATGAATTTTAAGAGCTAAATAAAAAAATTATACTTCACCCGCGTATATGAGTAGATGCACCGCATAAATTGGGCATTCCGGTTCTGGGTTCTGGCGGGGACCGCGTAAATGTGGAAACGCGTAAACAAGAACCGCGTAAACCGAATTATTACTGTATATAAAAAAAAAAAAAAAAATATGGATAATACCGGAGTCAATAAAATCAGTTCTAATTTAGTTACACACCATTTTTTGACAAAATAATCCTGAATACTTTATCTAAAAGTTTGGTTAAATAAATACCGTATTTTATGGCATATAAGATGCACCCCTATTTTAGCAGGAAACTTTTGTATGGATTTTCCTCCCGTAGCCATATTTTCTTATAATAATATATACAGTACCAGTAAATGTGAGGAATATTTAAAAATAATACCAATAAATAAGTTTAAAAAAAAATACTGCATTGACAAACCATAAATAAAAGACCAAATGAAAGTTTAACACAGTCACTTTTTGCATATACCCTACAGAACTTCCTGGTTCAGTATAGCAACGCAGAAGCCACCTCGGCCGATTCCCTAGCAATGCTCGCCCCCACACATGTACCACCTCCTCCCGCAGCTATATCAGTTCCAATGTATAGAACCAAACACACAATGTGCTTGAATACTTCTCACGCAAATGTGAATAACAAAGTGTGAGGCCAGACAGACTGCCTCACACTCCTGTACTCACTCAGTTGTGAATAAGTTACCCTTTATATATAGAACTAAACAAATAATGCAATTGAAATACGCGCAACATTCAGTGCCATAATATCCTGACCACGGGGGTTAATATTATGAACCTTTGTAAACCATAATCTGTAATCCTTTTGCACTACCGCTCACAGGATGAGTATGGAAAGCACAATAAACTAGCCGCTGTAAGCAGGAAAAAAAAAAATCAATCCCGCTCCCCCAGTGAGACAGCTAACTTTTGTGCAAAGAAATGCATATTCCCTTTATGTGTTTGACCTTATGACAATTATTTCTTTTACTTTTTTCACAATATGTATGTAGGAAGGTGTGTACATGTAACCGAGAAAAAAATAAATGAAGAAAGTTACGTATATCTACCCAAAAATACGAGATAAAAAACAACCATAACACCAGTAACCTGGTGGTTATAATGACGAGTCTAACCTGGCTACAATGCTGCCAGCGATATTAACAGACGCAAATGTGAAAAGAAAGTTTTATGTAAATCTTCATGTGTATCAGGTATTTGTAGATTTAAAAATAAATGTTGCAGGTATGGCATTGTAAGAGTTCAGAAATAGTTACTGCTTAGCAACCTCTGAAGAGTTGGGTGTCTGCTGTACGGATGTTAATCAGCTTGGTTTATTTTCCACACTTCACAAGAAAATTTCCATGAGTCTAAACGATGCAACTTGTAGAAGGTGTATTTATGTACGCAAACACCACTGTACACATACAATACTGTTCATACTGTAAACAAAATAATGTATACTACTGTACTGTATATAATGCACTCACCAGCAGACACTGTTCACTCAGCTGACAGTAATGTTTAACTGTAATCATGTCTTAACACTTGTGATGGAGGTTGGGTGGGAGATTAGTGGGTCATGTTACTGACCTGCCCTGATGCAATATCAGGTCACCCATTGTCAGGGTGGGGATTAGTGGGTCTCATAACCTCAATGTACAGTATAGTACACGTAACTGTAATCACTTTACGTTCTCAGCAGTGCTTTAACACTGTATTCTTGGCAGATTTTGTTTTGGTACAATAATTTACAAGTACTGCACAACACAAAGTGTACACAAAAACAGTAGCTAGCAAATTATTTAAATTTCTTCGATTCAATACATGAAAGGTTTTGCTTGTAATGTTAAGAGCATAATTTGGTTGAACATGAACATGTCTTCTACATACAAACACACATACACACACATACCGGTAGTACATAAAATATCAATTGTGCTACCTGAGAATCCGAGGCCCAAGTTCATATACTGTATTGTACTACAGTATCTTCATGCTTCAGCGAGTTGATCCATCTACCTAATCTTTGTGAGGCCTCAATCACAATTCAGGTAGTGGGCAGTAGCAAGGCCACTGACACCTCCTGGAACTGCTATCATATCTGGGAGTTTTCTGAAACAGTAAATTTCACAAAGTTCAAGACATACCAAATAAGAAACTAGCAATGCAATATTATTTGCTTTTGTAAAACATCCATTATACAATAGAATACCAACACTTACACTAAAATAAGTTCCACAATCCTATGACAACCTCCCTTAGGCTTTAACCCCTGAGCTATGGTCAGCACCCACCCCCCCTCCATATAGGTATATTCAGGAGCATTTAAAAAACAAATAAAATGCAATTCTAGTCTTACAAACTGGACAATGATGATAGGAACAGGAAATAAATAAATGTCCTTACCACAGGTTGGCAACACAGGGGCTAGAAAGAGTCGAGAATGATTGTGAAGTGGCGTGTGTGTGAGACGCAGTAGTAATAAGGTAAACAATACTAATATGTAGGCAGCATGAGGTACAGGACACTTGTTTTACTATGTTATTACTATTTACAATATTAACAATTATTATTACCACTCCAGTAATTGATCACGATACTATACTTGTGCTTGGGGGTTATGGGAGTAGAAACACATGAAGAAGTGAGTCAAGTCCAAGGGCGTGATTAATATATGACAAAATCTGAGAAGCTACTGTGAAGAGTCTAGGAGGCTCTCATGTGTGAGTGAGTGAAAGATAAATAAGGTGATGTTTGCATTAACCGGAACAATTGGTACAGAGCACTTCTGGGAATGAGAGATTTCCAGGTAATGAGATGACTCTCTTAAAGCCAGGAAAAAATCCCTCATCCCCGGAATTTTCTAGGTAACGGAAAAATGTTCTCGGAAGTTCAAGAATGATGCTTTATTTCATCTCACAAAGCCGGAAGAAAACCCTCATCCCCGAAATTTTCTGGAATTTTCCGGGTAATGGAAAAATGTTCTCGGAAGTTTCAGAAATTGTGCATTACATCATCTCTTGAACCTGGAGAAATATCCCCCATTCCTGGAATTTTCCAGGTAGTACTGAAAAAATTTTCTCGGGATTTCCGAAAAATGCACCTGATGTTCATCTCTCAAACCCGGAAAAAAAAACATCCCCTATCCCTGGAATTTCCCAGGTACTGGGAAAATTTTCTTGGAATTTTACAGAAAATGTGCCCCTCGGAAAATTTCAATTCCGGCTATCAGAGGGTTCCGGGTTTGAGGGATTCCGGCGAACGGAGATATTACTTACCTACTTGACAACTTGAAAGGAACAGAAGAAAACGGTCACAGAAAGCAAAACCCAAGCACTGTAGATGAAATATGGGGAGAGGTGTCCTCAATATTTTATAGGAGCAATTAACTGTTCTGGCAATCTGAATAGGGTTAGAAAACCAAGAACTCAAACTAAAATAGCATATGGGAATGAAAGGGTAAATAACGAAGACAAGATAGGAAGTAAAATGGATACTCCATATACAAAGCAGGTTCTGCCAAGGGGTATACTGATGGTGGGATATGTAAGAACAACTGTTGACTGACTTTTATAGGCAATAAAAATGCATTTTGGTTGATCAATTGGCTATACTGTACTTTGGATCTAAATGTAAAGGGGACTTAAATTATAACCACTAAAATATCTTCTCCCTGTACATACCACTTTCTTGGGACACTTCTTCAATTGGGGTTTTATCCAGTTCCATTAACCTTCTTTTTCTTCATCATTTTCATCTTTGCAAGCCGACAAAGAGAACTCTGATAGCACCTCTCAAGAATATGTAGTAACCAGGAAGCAAATGTTGACCTGTACTTGGTGTGGAGGTTGATAGCAGTCTCCTAAAAAGACATAAGCCACATTAATATACAAAATGAGACTAAAGTGTGAAATTCCACTTCAAGGATGAGGGGAGAAAACAAGTATCATGTGAGCACTACCACCAAACACCCTATCTGTACTCTTCAGAGAGGGTATATAGTTTAAGAGCAGGTTATATTATTCAGATTGAGAAAACAAAATAATGAAAATATTGCTTTTAGTAGCACTTATCATCAATCTAGTTCCAGATCATCAGTCAATGAACAAATAGTTTCTTCAGTGAGGATCCTGGGCCAATGAAACAAAAGAATTGTGTATCACTTCCAAATACTCTTCAGGCATAAAAAGTCATAAAGTAACTCTACCAAATAAATTTTGGTTTTCATTTTACAGTACAAGGTAATACTATAACCACTACCATTAATAATGCCACCACTAATATCACCACTTCCATCAATGTAATTACTTCCACCAATATTAACAGACCACCAACTACATCAATATTATGACTACATATCAACAATACCACTAACACTCGCCTTGATGCTGGGAAGGATAAGACACATTAGTATCTTTAGTAATTGGATCCACCACAAGAGTAAATAGATCCCAGTGGAATTGGTCTTCGTCATAGAGCTGCCCTTGAGAGAAAATTCCCAGCATGGTTTTATGTAAGTTCGGTTGACACCAGACCACTCTTTGATGGTATAATGCATGGATGTCTCACGCTGGCCCCCCACAAGGTGATCTAGTTCAGAGCGTTGAAAATATAATGGTCACGTTCCTGGTGGTACAAAAAGTAAAGTTAGTGCTTACAGAGCATTTACACAAACACATGGTATACTATTCAGTGGTTAACTCTTGGATTGTGAGGTTCCATTCCTGCAACCCTGATGATACAACAAATCATAATCAAGATTCTTCAAGTCCAATGGTCAAATTATTTTTTAAAATTATCCATTTTCAAGCAATAAATCCCATAAGAATATAACAAACTCAGGAGGCTAGGGACCAGCCACCCTCAATAAACTTGGATAACCTTAATACATATCTGTCGTTCAGACTGTCAAGCAAGAAAAAACAAACATATAAAGCAAGCATAATAAGCATTAATTAAGGAATGTAAGCATAAATTGAAAGTTATTCACCAGTGTTGGAGCATTGAGTCCATGTTGAGTCATCATTCCTCCTCACAGCCAGCCTCTCTGGTTGAAGGGATGGCTGATGCTTTGGCCACTGTTTCTGCCATTAAGAGGTTTATAAGATATCCCACACATTTCAAAAACAATTACGGGCAACATTTTTCAAAGATGTACAGCTGTTACCCAAAACACACCACAGTATGTCTTACAAATGAGATGGAATACACCAAATTACATAATAAACATGAGTGTATAAAAAACTGGCAAGTACATAATGGCATTGGACAACTGCTAGTGAGCCATGATGCACATCTTATACAAGTGAATTTAAGTATCAAGAGCAAAAGAACATATGGGAAAAATAGGGTTTGGCTCCCAATAACAAAAATACCCCCAAAAAACACTAAATGAGTTCACAAACAAGAACAAAACCTAACTAACAAATGATAAATAGTACACAACTTACATGAAATTACTACCCAACACTAGAAAAAAATAAATACTGATTAACTTTGGTACATTGTCTTATGGAAGGGCAGTCTGCACTCCCTCCCCAAAATGGCCACACCAGCTTACTCTTGGCACGTGTTTCAGAACAACAGAATCCTCTAACAATTATTCCACTTTACATTGTACCCTCGTTAATTAATGAATTAAACGATTAGAATTCGGAAAGAATCTGAAATAACGGTGCAGTTCCGAAAAGTTGATTATTATTATTATGGGTATATGAATATATTATGAAATAGATTAAGATGAATTAATTATAGGAATATAATATGAATTATATTAAGATACTGTACAAGACTATGTTTGGGTGTGTAGCCGGGGAGAGGAGGAACGGACAACTCACCACCTCCCGTTCTCATCAGCCCGCGATCCCTTTATGGCAGTATTGTACTGTATACAATTTCACAATAATTCCCATATTATTTTTGTTCATTTAGTCCCGGGTTAATAAAACATTATCAAAAAATAAATAATTTTCCCCCCAAATCCCGCGCTCAATCCCAAATAAGCTATTGTGCCATAGTATATTCCCAGTCTCTTGTTCCTGTTCTCCCTAACAATGTTGCCAGCACTTACCATCTCTCAAGCACCACTGTTGTCACTCACTGCTCATGAGGGTTGGTGCTTACCACAGGATCTGTCTTGGCCATTTAGTAAATATTATTGTAGGGTATTTACCAGAACTTAATAAATATTATTGTAGTGTGTACTGTCACCATATGCCCTGGTATATTCACTGATCAGTTGTCTAAGTGCAATAGTAGTCAAATCAAGCCATCATGTATCAATTAATTTTAAAATAGAAATTATAATTTTGTTTTTATTATAATGGTTTAGTAGTGCTGTTAATGTGTGTCCTGTGTAAGTGCCTTGTCATGTCACCGCACCTCCTGCCTCGTCACCTCATTCCTCACCTCGTCACCTCACTCCTCAGCTCACCTCACAGTGATACATTTATTTATTATTGGACTGTATTATTTACTGTATTATTACTATACTGTATGTTCATTAAAAATATATGTTTATGTTTGCACAGTAATTATAAATATATTATTTTATGTGGGAGCCAAGGCAAGGCACAAAAACTGAATAGAAAACGAATCAATAATTGAAGACAAAAATTCGGATGGATAAACTGATTGTGATAATTACATCCCTGGCAATGTAACAGCTTAGGTCATATGTTGCCAAATTAAATTAAAGGCTTAAAAAACTAAAATAATGCAAGGTAAAAAAGATAAGTAACAAATAACATAACTCCCATAAAAAAACATTTAAACGTTTATAGATAAAAATCAAAACTTGTGTAGAAGGACGGCTTCCTTCATGAAGGAGAGGATGTCCACTCCCCCTGCCAGCACCAAAGTGAGACAGTAAGACCCATCCCCCAGGTACTGGGAGAGGTGCTTACAACGAAGATCTCCGAGACTGAGGCACTCCACCAGGAGGTTATTACAATGGGGAGGGGGGTCTTCTCTCCATTAAAAAACCATGAGTCAGTCATGTGTGACCAATAAGGAAGCAGACCAAAGCAGTCTCCTAGCGGCACGACAGTCCTTGATATCCGCAGGCACCAAATGCAGACTGGATGTTGCAGAGCTTGTTTGTTTCGACAGCATCCCACCTGTGTTGTCAACTCGAGCGGATGGCAGCTTGTATTATTGGCTTCATATCAGAGGCAGGTAGAGAGGAATGATGTGCCACAGGGCGAGAAGCAGCTGCTTTCACCACAGCACCAGCATGCTTATTCGCCTTTTCCTCCACATGCACCAGAACCCAGCAAAAACTGACTTTCCAGCCTGGAGAGCACTACAAGAATCACTAAAAAAATTTAAATCGCTCTGAGGTTGAGCAAAAATAATCTTGAGGACAAGTAAAATACCCGACAGCTCTGCCGTAAAAATTTGGATATTGTTGAATAATGTCAAAATATTCCCAACTCGGTTAATTCAGATTTTCCGGTACTAAAGTGATTACTCCTCCCTCTCCCTCCGCTCTTGTCGACTAACTGCAGACGACATAAGAACTGTTTACTGTATTCCTTTTATGCTTTTGACTTAAAAGATATTTTTTTTTCTTCCACATTGTTTGAACAAATGTGTGTCCACGTAACAGAATACAAGAAAAATAAGAAAATTACATATATTTACCAGAAATTACAAGTTGAACAATAACATAGCTCACAGCTCAGCCTCACCCACTCTGAGTGCTACTGGGTGGTGAGTCGGTCAGTCAGCGACTCAGCTACACAATTATGTGTCATCTCCAGATATTATTCCTTGTTGTCCCTTGTTTAAGATATGTCTCGCTTCTGTTCACTTAGCGATCTGTTTTCAGGAACGCATCCTGATCGCTAAAAAAAAATCCCTATACAAGTGTGCATAGATAAATTGAGATATGATAGATACAGCATACAGATAGACACACCTGTAATATCAGTGCCTCCATGCTCCAGTTGTTAGCTTCCCAAGGAGTATTCTTCAAATCACCTGTAACAAACAAAATATATTAATATACACAACTATTTATGATTAACAAGTCCACAAATTAATAGTCATCCAATAAAGTAGTTGTAAGTTTTATGCAAGTTTGGTTTATGTGAACTTTCTGGGACTGTAAGCCTTGCATACTTGAGTAACTCAAGTAATTTTTTCCAAAATATTCCCTGCTAAATTAGTGGTACATCTAGTTAAGACAGAAAGTTTGATGGGCACAAAGAGTTCATCTAATGGGCATGAAAGCTGTCCTTTTAGTTTACCATGCCATAGGCAGTGGTGGTGCTGTGGTGGTGCCAGTGGTGATAGTTCCATGGTGGTGGTGCAGTTCAATTTCCCAAAGTTCTGTTGTAATATCTCCTGTAAACAAAAACAAAAATTATTTATATATATATATATATATATATATATATATATATATATATATATATATATATATATATATATATATATATATATATATATATATATATATATATATATATATATATATATATATAAACACACACACATATACACACAGGTAGTCCCCCGACTTATGACTGACTTTAAAATGGCAGGCAAGCTTAAAAGTGAGTGTATTGTGGTGCTGAGAAGAAAAAGACACCCAAATTTTCGATTTTCTATGTGTTATATAAGCATTTCCGACTTACGACCATTTCAACTTACAACCTGGATGTCGGTCCCTAACCCCGTCGTAAGTCGGGGAGTGTGTGTGTGTGTGTGTATACACCTAGACCCCGACTTACGACTACGTGGACTTACGACCGCCTCAGATATAGATAAAAAAAAAAATTTTTAAATGACACGCATTTTCTATACCGAAACGTTTCCAGTTAATGTAGTCTCCATGTATAATTAGAAAATTATGGGGGCCCCATGTGCATTCAGCTGACTACATTAAAGGTTAAGTGCTCAGTCACACTGTATCCATTCCTTATTATTTATTACTTTCACTGTACTGTATCCATTCATCATTATTCATTACTTTTACTGTACTGTATTTCATTGTAGATTTTTTATTTTTTTTTTTTTTTTTTTATCTATGTCGGACTTACGACCTGGATTTGGGTCCCTAACCCCGTCGTAAGTCGGGGTCTAGGTGTATATATATATATATATATATATATATATATATATATATATATATATATATATATATATATATATATATATATATATATATATATATATATATATATATATATATATATATATATATATATATATATATATATATATATATATATATAAAATCACACGGGAAAATGGAAACAACGGAGTACCTTAGCTTTCGTCTTTATTCAAGACATCTTCAGAGGCAACTGGATTACATGGACAGAGAGAGGCTTAAATATACAGGGTGACCTAAAAACATGAGGTCAGGTCATAATGATGACATCCACTAATCCCCACACCAACACACACGTAGAGGAGCTTAAGAGAAGGGTGATGACGTGACTAGACAGGTCAGGTCAGAAAAAAGGGACCCACAAAATAACTATCATACATCAAGATCAAAGGTTTTCAAAGCATTTTTAACCTTGGGCCACTGACAAATAAATTTATGTAACATATTATCAGTTTTGAACTGACCATCACTAAGGTTTATTGATTTTAATTCCTTAATCAAACTAGCTTCAACCAGAAGTCTTTCTGTGACACAAGATGATTTGAATACTTCTAAGCTTTTTTCCCAAGCAATGGGTAGAGTATTTTGTCTAAGCGCCATATCCGTCCTTGTCCATCAACAAAATTTATCATATAGGTATGATGATTGCTATTTTTTTTTACTATACTAGAATCATTGCAACTTAATTATAATTGCAATTATTTTACTAGTCAACACCGATTTATCCTTAGGGCTTGCTTAGGATGCCCACCCCCTTCTCACGAAAATACCAAGTACCTATAAGTCCATGAGCACTGCACACACTTCTTGAATGCTAAACGTGAGGATTCCCCATGAGGAAAGCCCACGTAAAATGATTTTGAATACGGCCCAATATCTTGAGCTTGTGAGACCTAACCTGGATTACGTGGTTCAGTTCTGGTCACCGTACTACAGTTTGGATATCAAATCACTAGAAAGCTCAGGCTCTCAATTGGCTCAGCAATGTCAATATTGTTATTATTATCCACTCTGTACCTATATTTTTCTGGCTATATAAAGTACTAAATGGATATTAATACCAAAGAAAGATGACAAGACTAATCCCGGGCATAAGGAACCTTGAGTATAGAGAAAGAGTAGAGCATCTTAATTTGCACTCCCCCGAGAGATGAAAATAAGTCAAGCATTATCAAGCTTCGTAAGGCAAGGACACAAATACCGTCCCCAAGCTGAAGGCAGCCATTCGTGAGGAGTGGAATAATTTGGACCCACAAATAATCCACAACTTGGCAGAGTCTGTTCCTTCATGCCTGCAGGAGTGTATCAAGAGAAAATGGAGGCTTATAGACTACCTGAAGTTTGTTAACTTCTCAGATTATTTTTGTATTAATATTTCATCTTGATGTTTATGTCCGTCACGACCCTGCACACAATGCAATGGCGAGGAGTGTATAAGAGTTATTTTGCAAGGGAAACATCATTGAAGAAAAGTGTCATAGAATTGTCTGAACTATTGATTTCAAATCTAACCTGCAATAATACTGAATAATTACTAGCTATTGGTCTCGTGCAGCTGTTGTACCGTGTCTTTTTTTTTTTACGGGGATTAGCCCACCTGGGCACAGGTCACTGACCCACATCAGGGCCTGGGGGGCGAAAATGTAATAGTAATATAAATAAAGAATCATAAAGAAATACACAAATGAAAAAAAGATCAAACGTGAGAAACAATATATGTATGTTGTATTCTCAATGGTAAGAGAAACAATTGAGACCCTGCAATTGTGTGTAAATGAGGCAGAAAGTTAGATCAGCAACCTGGGACTTGGTCACAATTTTCGTGATGCCATATGGCAGCAGGGTCTACCATTAGACAACACATTATGCTTCCAATATCTTCCCAGGTGGTAGTACCTCCCTGTTTGGTAGCTGCCTACTACCTACTACCTTCAAAATCTCTTACCACAGACTGACAGCACATGATATACAGTACTGTAAACTAGAAACGCTACATTAACCGTTTCATACAGTCAAGATTACAGCATACAGTTATAATATACATGTCTTCGGGTTTTTCCAGTAAACAAACAAAAAATAATCATGACCAAGACGCCAGCACTAAAATACCCATAAAAGAACTCACTGTTTTATCAACTATATAAAATGAGTTACTGGTATTATAATAAACATACATACCTGCAACGGCTATTTTCCCATCACAAATAACTTGATAATTAACCATAATCACAATGGGCTTTTTCAGGTTCGGTTAACAGGTAGACGACAGGCAGTGGTCCCAGCACGCTAAGATCTAGCCTTAAAACAGTTCTAAATAACTGCCAAATATCCCACTAAATTGGATGTGTAGTAAGAGCCATGATTTTTTTTAAATAATTCTTTTGTGTAAAGTTATGCATAGAGTGCAGATTATCGTGTCAAAACATCATACAGGTATGTATTGTCTAGCAGCTTGTGAACAACCGTTCATGCTGAACTCAAGTCAGTGGATTCATCTACTAAAATGCTAAATTTGTCTTTCATGTCATGAAGTAAGTGTTCTTTGTACATGGTCCTAGCACCTAGTTAATTAGTTCAGTGCATTTCATTGTCCTCTTTATTTGACTGCTTGATTTAGTATGATAACGTCCTTAACCCTTACAATATTGTAATCACACCGACTTCTGAATTTGGGAATCAATTATGGTAATCACCCAATGAAAACCTCACTATATGTTTCCTATTCTGTCAGCCTCATTCTTTTTGGCTTCGGTCCAGCAATCCCGCCTCACTGACCCATGTTTCCTCTTTTATTTCGATGTTATGATCTCAGCAAACTAGCTACATATTACTTATTCTCCTAGCTTCATTCTATTGGCTTAGGTCTAGCAAAGCTAGCCTGTCAAAAAAAATTACCCTAACACAGGTGTAACGGGCAAGCACTGCCGTGCTCTCTTTCTCTCTCTTTGCAGTAAGCTCATACGAATATTAGTTTTATTCAGGAAAATCCCAAAACCAGCCATAAATCGCCAAAGCCACAAAATCCGAAATTTTCTCGCCGAGCACGAATCAAAAGCTTAATTTAGCACTAAACCGCCAAATCTGGGAACACTGCTGACATGCGCAGTGGACTTAATATTAATAAACTGAGTTAATGGGTTTTATATTACGATAAATTACTTCTGATAACCTAAAATATATTTAACCGAGTCATCATATACTGCATATCCGTGTTAAAAATGCCATTGGGTGTTGGTGGTTCAATGTGTTGTGTATCTCTGTTTATGTCCTGGGTTCGAGTCCCAGCCCGAGACACGTGAGGGAAGGTGTTATCCAGTGGCTACCAATTACTGGGCAATAAAGTTCATAAGTAGGGACCAACTCCCTAAGCGGCTAGTGAATTAAATCCAAAACAATCAATCAATCAGAATACTGTTCTCATATCTGAGGATTGGCAGCCACAGCCCTCCACTCTCAACATTTTTTGGTCTTTTACCAATTCTACAAAATTAAATCTCTTTGGGAACCCAGTTTTTTATTTCATTCACCTATCCTGGTCTCTGCCTTCCCCTGGCCTCCTTACCCTCAACTTTGCCTATGAATATATTAATGTTTCTGCTATTATCCTCTCATCCCTGATTATATGTCCAAAGTATCTTTTTTTTTTAATTATAAACCATTTTTCTTTAAATTTTTGCTTATCTTAGGTCGTCTTCATTTGGTTTCCTTTCAGTGCAACTTATTTTTGACACTCCCATATAACACCACATTTCAAAGGTCTCTAACCTCTTTATGATATTAATAATGGTTGCCTCGCACTGCATACAAGGATGGCCAGCTCTCGGGCCACTTTGGCGTGAATTTGATTAAGGTATAGAAGCTGTCGCTAACACAACAACCACACCCTAAGTTAACGAACTGTATCGCCCAGTATGAAGGAAATATCCCAGAAGACCGGACAACTCATCAACTGGACTGGCTAACCATTAACCAAGAACTCGATCCGCAAATCGATTAAAATCCACGTCCCCAATTACTGCTGGGTAGACAGAGGCAAATGGCATAAAGAAACTTGCCCATAGTTACACCCTGAATGGTAAATGTTATAAACAAGATTATGCAGCATGTCTGCATATTAGTGTATGGATGGGTCAATAGGCCATCGACACATTAAATCTGATGCTTCACCCCCTCCAACAAGCAGAGGAGGAGGAATGGATTAAAAAAAAAAGGCTCATTTCTCACCAAGAGACTGCTGGGCGCAGAGTACAGAGAAGCATGCAAGGCTACATACCATTTGCTTTAAATTAAATAAAAAATCCATATTATAACTTGACAAAACCTCCCTTATCATTTAAACATTCAAATTGCTTTTAATTCATTTTAAATTAAAGTTATTGTACTTACCAATGACACATTTATTCACAATAAGAAAGTGTGCAAATAAAAGTAGCAAAAGCACTTGTTTTGATCATTTATTGAGGATGAGAACATAGACAGCATAATTATTGATACATGTTCCATCTACATTTGGTCTACTCTAGTAAACTAACTCTATCGCAGCCATCAGTGCACCACAGCCCGGCTGAGTCAGACTTGGGTCCTCGGTGAGATTCACTTTAAATTATAGATTTTTAAGCTATGAATAACAATCTGGTTGTGTTTAAATAGGGTAAAAATCTATAGGCATCTGGCAACTTTGATTATCTGGTAACTCAGTGGAGAGACCCAAAATGTTGGCACAATAACATGCAACAGTCAACAAGAAAACATTCTGTATGTGGTACAAGGTAGTTCAAACAGTTTCAGGGATTTCCAATATTGCTAGAACTCCAAGATATCTACAGAAAATCTGCTAAATTGAAAATCTCTGAAACTGTCAAATTCACCTATAAGGGACACTCAGATCCGAGGCTGCGAGGCACTCCTGGCCGCTGGTACCATATCCTCCATACCATTTACCTTGCCAGTACCTGTCCATGACCAGCCTCTTAGCCACAGTCCTTTTGGGGGGGGGTACCTGGTGGGGGCTCCGCAGGCCACAGTGTGGGGGCCGTGCGGGACTATTGTACAGGGCTGGTCCACAAACTCGTGACAAATCCTACTATATTGAACCTAGTTTTAATTGCAATAAAACTTATTTTTCTATTCTTAATAGAAAGAAGTTAAGTTTCACTGAAATTTATTTAAGGTTCAAGGTTTTCATAATTGTCACATGTGCTACAAGATTTCTGTAGGAATAACATTAACAGTGCTAAGGCGACCTTAGGAGAGCACTGAATCTGAAATTCTTACAAAGTTCTTTGCTATTGTGGACTACCGCAATATGGTAGAAACGAACAGCGGAGTGTCTGACAAACTGCACAAACAATTTTATATATTATTGCATCTAAACAGAACATAATTATCAGCAAAGGGAAAAAGAGCATATCTATCGGCACATTGATTATAATCATTATTCATAATGGTGACGCAATCAACATCATGAACCTCACACAGGATTACCATGAGAGTCATTTCCCCTGTGTTACTAAATAGGAAACAGGACCTTCTGGTAACCCTTCACAAGACTCATCATTGTTCACTCCCTCACGATAATAACTGTTGGCTACCTTAAAGATAAAGTATGTACAAGCATGAGACTTTATCAACTATTCAATAACACTGCCATCATCATTTCGTATCTCTTTGCCTTGAATTCAAGTTCCAACTTTGTCGTCAATGGTCAGATAAGGTTTATCGGAGTGGGAGTCAAGGAATCAGATTAGGTTAAATAAGACAGTCAGCCTCATCACAGAAACCCCTAATGTAAAACACAACTAAATATTGAAATAATATCTTAATTAGTAAATAGTGTGTTTCTGTGACAGTAGAGTAGGGAACATAACACAGTCTGTGCATAATGTTGATTAAAGATTAAGTGACACTTGGAACATAGTTCTGATCTCAAGTTTAAATTTCAAACCTCACTTTTTCTGGCGATTAGGTTTAATAGCCCTCATATCAATACAAGCATACAAAAGGAAATGAAGACCTCAGCTTGTTTTCATTATTACAACATTCAATCATATGTCGAATGTTCAACAGAATTTGAGAATGAAATATAAGTTATATGCATAGAAAATATTCATTCTAATGTCACAAAAATACATAATGGCCTAAGGCAATGGGATGAGTCGTGAGTCACATAATGGGGTCTCTGCAACAGACACATGACTAGGTTTTAAGGTAGAAAAACGGATAGAGGTTATTTATTTAAACAGGAAGGAGACAGACAGACAGAAAGATTTAAAGATATCTCAACTAAGCCTGCGGGGTGTAAAGAGGAGTGCCACTATAACTTAAGACTGAGGGTGGTATTAATTTGTACTTTATAATCCAGCGTCACGACTTATCCGACAATCAAGCGTTTAATTACTTACTACATTAGGGCACCAGGAAGGAAGGCAACAGTGGCAATGTATGTATGACCAGATGTGCAACTTCAGGCGAAATGTAATATCTCAATGAGTCTCTATAAACATGATAAACAAAGACACCTCACAGTTGCTACCCCTGTCAAATATCGACAGTGAATTTCTGCACTTTTTCACTGTTTTGGACACCTTTTATACATCTTTGGACATCAAAACACCACAGTGAAACGCTCAGACAAATACATTCTAGTCAGCCTAGAAATCACAATGCCACTTCAAAAACGTAGTAGGATGAAAAATACATGACGTCCTCAACAGAGCTCACTCCAGTGGGTCCACCCCAACCCCTCTCTACATCCCGCCTCATAGGTACTGCTACGAAACAATACTTCACTTTTGCCTTCAATAAAAGTATCAAAATGCATGTAAAAATACAAAAAGATTCTCAAGCTTATTTTTTCATTCTCCTTACGCATGTAGCACAGGGGTAATATTATCCAAAAATTACAGCATTTTTTTTTATCTCTAAAGGGTGATTATGAACTAGTGCACCTCAATTGTCAAGAATAATCAATAGAAAAAGTAAAGGAAGGAGGAGACTGCACAAAAAGTTATTTGTACAAGAGATGGCGATAGTAAGGCGACAGAGGCAAATGTAGCCAAGCCAAGAGTCCAGCACTAGTCCTGTGAGAAAACATTAGCAGAAATAAGACCATATGTTGCACAAGCATCCATGGGCCATTCAGGTAAAACAACTCCCCATTAGTTAGTAAGAGAATAAAAAAAGATATGTCTGAAATATATAAATGAATTTGATCACAGAGTTAAACTTAAGAAAAAATGAATAAAATATGCAGAAATTTAAATTAAGTTAAGGAAAGCCTCAAATGAACTCACAACTCTACCGCTGGAAGACTCCACGTCTTGGCTACACTCATGTGGAGGGTTTCATTCAAATTATGCCCACTGGCAACTTAGTCTAGAATGTTACTTGGTATAGGCCCAAATACATCACGCTATTGTTGCCACTGTTCTTTAGTGCATTAACCAATTTATAAGCATATTAATGAAAATATGCATATAAGTGTGCCGTTACCAGTAATGTGCAACAGAATGTGATATAAGAGGGCCTAAAATTGCCCTTCTGATGCAATAGTTTTGGGCTGGGGAGATGTGTTCACAACTGCTTTTATGGCTTTTGAGATTAGATGTGAGAATCTGAATGGGTGTACTTTGTATGTACTTGGTGATCATGTCCTTAAATGTCCTTAAAACAATAACATCATCAAGGCCTTCCTTTTGGCCAAAAATATGTTAGTAATTATCCTAAGAAAAATAAAGTACATGGCTAAATTTCTTAAAAATGCCTTGCATAGACTAGTAATCATCTTGGCTTAAAGTGATGCATTTCCAAAAAAAAATAAATTCAAATGTTAATGGAGAATATTTGAGCAATATTCTGATTATTCCCCACACCATTCAGAGAACACTTCTGAGTATTAAACACCACCAGAAATATGCAGACATCCTCATGTCTGTTAATGTCAGGTTCAACATTTTCAATTTTAAACAAACATCTTTGCATTGTATTTCCTCAAAATTCAATTATCAGAACTATGGAAATCCTTAGATTAAAAAACTAAACAGTCTGCGTACTATTTACAAGGAAAATGATAAATAAGCCGTCTAAGAAGCAACACTTGTGGTAAGACTACCTTACAACTATACAACTGATTCATCAATAAAAATGAGAATTGTCACCAAAAGTTCTACAAAGACATCTTTCACTCACATGAGATCATTACACAAGTAATGGCTTGTGATATGGCAAAAGGTTACATACTGTACAGTCATAGTATTTCTCCAAAGAACAACTGTCATTTACTTCAGTCACAATAAATAAATATCGACTAGTGCTATATCTGAACAGAAAGTAAGTTTTCACTCTTTGTGACCAGTTACACCGCAGCTACCACATTTTGAGCTAATATAGCCAGCTCACAGCCAAACACTAAAGTTACACAGCATTTGAGAAGTAACATAGTAACAGCAAGAATTGAGAATAACAAGATTCAGGAATTCCGGGACCACACTCTTTTAACTTCCTGGCCATTCACTGTAGGGTCCAGTCACTCTAAAAGGCGGAGCATATCTCATTTCTGACCAGGTGGAGGTCGGGTGGGCAGAAGGTGCTCGCGGTGCCAGCGGGTTATAACTACCGGAGACATTGCTGAAGTTGGGAAGAGGGGTTCCTTGTGGTATGGAACCATGGGGACCTGGGCTGTATGGAGGTGTTAAACCATAAGAGGGTTGGGAAGCTTGGTTGGAGAAGCCTTGATTTTGACCTAAAATGGATGTATTGTGGGGGTTTCCATGGGGACTTGGCATTGACGAATTGTGAGGATTTGCATGAGGGCTGGGCATAGGGGTATTATGGGGACTTGGCATTGGAGTGTTCTGGGGATTTGTATGAGGACTTGACATTGGAGTAGTAAGGGGATTTGAATATGGACTTTGCATAGGAGTATTGTGGGGATTCGCATGGGGACTAGGCATGGGTGTATTATGAGGGTTTGAATGAGGGCTTGGCATGGGTGTATTATGGGGATTTGCATGGGGACTAGGCATTGGAGTGCTATGAGAATTTGCATGGGGACTTGACAGAGGTGTGGTAAGGGGGTTTGCATGGGGACTTAACAAGGGTGAATTGAGAGGATTTCCATGTGGACTGAGCATTGAGTTATTGTGGGGACTCTGAACTGGATTTCCATGCGGACTATGCATCGGATTGCCAAGTGGACTGTGCATCGGATTACCATGGGGGCTATGTAAAGAATTTACATGCGGACTATGCATTGGTGTGCCATAAGGGCTTTGTATTGCATTTCCATGAGGACTCGGCATTGGATTATGAATTGGGCTACTCATTGGGTTGAGAGGATGACTGGAGCCACTGTGTGAACTACTAACAGGAACTACATTATTAATGGGGCTATTTTGATGAGTATATTGATTGGGAAAATTGCGATGCTGTTGATGGCAAATAGGCTGATAGGGCTCTCCACCTGCATTAGACATACAGTTATATGGGTTGAATTCTTGCATGGAAACATTAAAGGGAGGGCAGTGAAGTTCCCCATGATGATTTCTATGCATATTTAACATCCCGCTGTAATTGTGGTCTGGTGTTGGTAGGGGTTTTTGCATGTGAGGATTTAAGGTTGGTGCTGAGGTGGTAACTAAATGGGGGGGATGTGAGGCCATAGAATATGCTGGGACTTGAGAAACACCAAATTTTTGAGTAGGACTGAAGGGTCTACAGCTGTCTAAGCCAGATGCAAGAGGTTTATGATAGCTAGCATAGCTTACTGGAGGAGATTTAAGATCTGGATGGTTAGGAAGCCTCATATCTGAAGGTGGACAAACAGTGGCTGATTTTGTATCAATCTTATGACCTTCTGGATGCCCAACTCTGTTCCTCACACCATGCCCTTCGTGTATATTAGGACTTAACCTCAACTCTTCCTTCATATGTGATACACCATTCATCCTTTGGAATTCAGACTCTAACATTTTATTACACTCATCTGGAAACACGAAACCCTCTTTCATCATTTTCTTCTTTTTCCGGGGAGAAGGTTTCAACTTTCCCTCTTTGATTAATCTTTCTTCTTCACTTCTTTTCTTTTCCATCTTTTCCTCAAACCTCGCCCATCCATGGTTTCTGTAAATCAGGTTCTTGTGCTGATAAAACACGAGACTAATTCTCTTTGGATCACGTCTGTTTGGGTTCTTGAGTGCAGTTGTGGCATGCAGTTCATGTTTGGCACATTCAAATAGCACCGAACCGTGGGTCAGAGCAATGGCTACACCTCCGATATCTGGATCGTGGAAATTCTCAACATTGTCACTCTGTTTGATTACAGTTTCTGGTTCTTTAGGTTTATTACACTGTTGTTCACTTCTACTGGGGTTTTCATCACTGGTTAAATTGGAAAAAGGGTTACTGTATAACCTGTCTTGATGGAAAGGCATTACTTCTTGCATATTTGGTCCCCTACTAAATTGATTTGTACTTCTGTAGTGCATTTGCAGAGCTGGATCAACACCATTTTGCATCACATGTGACAAACTGCACGCAGCGGAGGGAGTATTTTGCGGAAGTTGAGAGGAATGGAGATATTGTTCATTTTGAGTCTTAATAAAGTTGTGGCATTGATTTTCTATTGTATTTGTACATTGTTGCTGTTGACTATTAATAGAGTGAGAGAGTTGGGGGTTGGCAGCCCCTTGGCCTTGGGGGTTTGGAGATGATACAGGAGTGAGTGGTGTGCTGACAGAACAAGCTTGTCCAAAGGAAGGTGGGTGGGGTGCTGCTACTACTGCACAGCCTCCCACAGGAGAAGCTATCAATGATTGGCAGCCATGAGGTGATTGTGTGCTGTGTGAAGGAGTTGTTGATTCTGTGACTGATGAAGGAACTGGAGATGAGCAAGGACTTGTTGACTGTGGTGGACATGGTGGTGTGAATGATTTTATATGTGGTGATGGAAGGGGAGATGAACAAGGACTGGTTGAAGATGGAGGATTTGATGGGGTTATGGACCTAGCAGATGGAGAACCTATAGGAGAACGACAAGGACTAGATGACTGAGGGACCGAAAGAATAGCTGGAGAAGGGAGAGGAGATGCACTTGGACTCACCGATGATGGAGGCAGAGGTGTAGTGGAGCAAGAAGAAAGAGGAGAATTAAAACACTGTGGAGAGTAAGGTCTCTTAGGAGCAGGAGACTGAGGAGGAGGCATTGAAGATTGTGAATTGTGAGGACTACCTTGTACTGTAGGGGAGGCACCAGGGCCAGCTACTGCTTTGGGTGAACTTCCTATATGACTAGTAGGAGGGTCACCTGAGACCATATGAGATTCAGTAAGTGTTGGAGTTTGGCCAGGGGCATTTTGTCTTTGGCTTAATTGGCCTTCTGGGACTGCCAAACCCTCAGTGCCTTTCACGCTATCATGGTGATTACTGTCAGCTAATGGTTGATTGGAAGATGCAACGTCGTCACTGCTTGTACTATCGTCTTTACATGAAATTATCTGGTCTAAATCACATGAAAGTCCAAAATCATTATCTGGTCCAACATCTAATAACCAACTATAATCAGAACCATCGAGTCCATAATTGCTCAATACATCATTTGGATCACTAAAGTCAATACCATTTAGCATAAAGTCTAGGTCGGGCCCAAGTGAATCACCAAAGTCTACACTTTGAGCTGTGGGGCTGTTGATCCCATCAGTTCCTCTTCCTCGGCCAATGCCTACACCTCTTGTTTTTCCTCTGCCTCTACCTCTTATACGCTTTGGGAGAGGTAACCCTCTTGCAAGAAGGTTTCTTGCACGACAGGAGAGGAGTGGCTCGGTTCGTAGTCGAATTTCACAGGGATACCTGAGGGGAAAAATTTATATTTGTCATATAACATCAATAAATCACTGTGCATGAATAACTCATAATATGTTATTTAATCTTTTGCCAAGACTATAATTGTATATTCGAAAGTGTATGTAAAGTCGGGTCTAATATAGAAAATAATGTCTGTAATTTACCTGGTGAGCACCTGGAGAGCACCTGACTGGACCTTGCGATGATAGTCTTCGTAAGATCCAGTCTCATCAGTGGGATCTATTATGTACAAAGGTAAGACATGGAGTTGCTCATCATCTGGCCTGGAAAATCCGCGGTGTTTTGTTAAGGTAGCTACAACTGTACAGCCATTATTCATGTTGTGATTATCTTTGTGAGCATGAGCACAAAAATCAGCACACGCTGTGACCCCAGCCCATGGACGTCCACCATTGTACCCCAGGCGACACTCTAGACTGTCGTTTTCAAAAGCAGTTTGGTTCTTGTATGCTTCTGGGGCATATTGTTTATACACAGGTGCTAAAATAGTGGCTAGACTCTGCAACTTGTGCTCTATTTCACTTTCCTGTAAAAGAAAAACCCCAAATTACTCAAATAATTTAACAGAGAGAAAAAAAAAAGGATTTGCTATTGTATTTTCAAGTACTGTATACTGCATTTGGAAAAATCGCTCAAACTATGGAAAGTGAAAAATTTACCTCACTGTGTAGCTCATATGAAGAGACCACACATCCATTATGGTAAAACACTCCCCAACATACTGTACATGAAAATGAATTACAAATGAATCTCTCTTGCTCTGTTGTGAAACATAAATATTTAGACCAACAAACTTTTATACATTTATCCTAACTTTCATGTGTAATGCAAGTATTTACTCAGTTTCTGATTAACTTTTGTTAAACAGTCTTACATAAGTGCTTCACTTCACTTTTGAATTTCAAACTCATTTCTATTAAGGATTTTATAGAAAAGTCCAAAATTCCTTCCTCAGAAATCTTTCCCATAATTTTTTTACGTCTTCTACTGTAATACAGCAACTCTCAACACAACCTATTGAATATTTATAAGGAATGCATCCTCAAGTTTCACTCAATGTGTTCAAGACAATACACCTACACCTAATAGTCTAAGGGCATCATTAATCTCTATACTGTACATATATATAGTGCATACTGAAAAAAAAGCAGTCATACCTCTTGATCGTCTGTAAGCTTGAATTTCCTTGCAGTCTTACTGCGAGCATATTTGCACATGTTGTAGTACATAGACCATGAACAACCAAAACTAAATGAAGCTCCACATGTTTCTGGGTCTAATCCTTGACAGATGCAAGTGCGCTCATCATTAACACCACATCTGTGGACAAAAGTGAAAATTAAATTATAGATCCAATACTGAAGCTCATTCTACAACTCAAACTAATGAATCTAAAATAATATTGGTAAATTAATTTGTTTGAACCCAATTTCATCAGTGCCATTATTGGTAATACAAACACTGTATATTATACAGTGGGTCACAGAAGTAGTTTAGAAAATTATAAACACAGGTTAGAAGACTAGGAATGGACTGGACTAGGGAAGCGTTAAGATAATTGTTACTTATGAATGATGCTGGTATAGAGAGTGAAGAAGCATACTAGTGTTGTTTAAACTGTAACTGAATGCAGGTTCAAAATACTGGTACTGATAAGTGACCTGGTATGGAGTGGAGAAATAAGATAAAAGTTGCATTTAAGTGATAGTGAATGGATAACTGATGAATGGGTAGCAAGCTACACAATACTGTACTGAATAAGAATTACTGTACTTCAAGAATAAGACTTTAGGAAGTTGACTGTTTGTTACAAAGTATGACTATCCCCCAAAGCTTAGCCAACTAAATTAGGTTTCATTTTTCCTGTTGTAGTGACCACTTTTATGTGTTGTGGATGAAAATATTTTAGCTTCATATTTAAAACATTGATCCTCACCATTTGAATATGATAAATCAATACTATTAAATTTGTATGTCAGTGTCATAGTTAAAATTTATAACATTCTTCCATACTGTTTAACCAACTTTCTACTTACATCAACTTTTATAATAAAATCAATTTGTCATTGTTCATATGAAAACTTTGCTTTTGCTAAAAATGGATCACAGACCAAAAGAAATAATTTGAACGTATAAGAAATAATTATCTCATTTCTTCTGATTCTTCCCATTTTTGTTGTTCTACATAAGTAAGCCTTAAACCAAGATCCTGTCCACTGAATTTTCATGATTGTTTTTTAAAGAACCTTCAAATGTATAATACTGTATATAAAAACAACTAGAAATCACCAGCAACTACAAAAATGAAATACAGTACAATGTAGTACACAACAGTATATTCAAGTCTTACCTTCTTTCAGTAGGAGTTCCGAATTTGTTGAGCTTATAGACAAGCATAGAGTACATGTCATCAGCAACTGGCGAGGGTATTCCTTCCCAGGCTACAAGAGCAATCACAATCCAAGCTGAAGAACACGTATGTTTCACCCGGTGCTTCACTATGGCCAAAGTCTTCTCCTCTGGTCCACCTCGACGTATAACCTGAAAACAAAAAACCTCTTCATGATGGCTGGGCCCTTTTTTCTTTCCTTTACATACAATACAATCATACCAGGATATATACACCCTACATCAGTATTTCTCTGTCGACACAAAACTGGATACAGTGTAAAATGAAATTTAGTTAATATATGACAGTAATACTGTACATTACAGCAAATACCTAGTAAATACTGTACCTAAAAGGATTTCTTCACAATACAGTATAAAACTTAACTTACCCATTTTGCTAGTGGACAACCAGAGTCAGTTTTCCCTTCTTTCCCAGTATAAATAACTTTCTCAATTCTGACAGCTGTGCCTGATTGACCTGTATGCTGTTCAATCTTGCTCCGAAGTTCTGACAGAGAAGACCCAGCTCCCAGGTGATTATAGATAGGTCCAGGGTCTGGGGTACCTGAAAATATCACACTTATTACAGTATGCACAATTAAAATATCTCAGCAAAATTACCACACCCTTAAGTAATGTAAAACATCCTTTAAAAGTAATGTTTGCAAACTTATAATTTACTTTGTGTTTAAAAAGTTAATAAATTTTTATTTCAATACAATTTTATCTGACTCCTAAATGCAAGTATTATGCAAAAACTGTAATACGTGTACTGTACTGTAGTGTTTTCAATTAAGTGCAGACAAATTATGATAATTAAGTTTCAATATACTGTAAACTAAAAATATACAGTACAGGTCGTATTATTCAACAATAAAAAATAAATTTGATTCACCTTCAAATCCTGGTTTTGTTGTTACTTATCCATGCACAAGCAGAGGAACCCTGGCACAAGCAAATAAACTTAAACTATAAGGTGGGGTACAAGAAAAGCTTAAATTAAAAACAGCCAAGCATGCACCAAATACCAAGCACTATAATAGGAAAAATATATCCATTGTAAAATTTACCAAATTTATTCCTTCAAGATATCATTAAAAGGCCCAAAACAAATTTATGTTCAGTACAGAATTATAAAATATACACTTATCAGACAACCACACAAAAGTTACAGACATTTTAAGAAAAAACTTTTGACAAACATTTAATGTTTCCATAGAGAAAGTGTCAGCGAAATCCATACTCATATCATCACAATCACAGGACAAAGTTAAGAGATAATCAGTACTATAGAGTTCTATATCTACCCACATCTCAATGTTTCCAATTGTCACCTGTACATGTTGTCCAGTTGGTGAAAATATATTTCGGCCTCTTGCTCCAAAAAATTAAAACAAAGGACAGTACAGTAACACCAAGTGCTTCTATATATGTGTATAAATGCTGTTTGTGTGATATATGAATCACTTAATAATGTAGCTGCGCTTTATATTAATTTTGGTGAATATATTGACAAGAAAAAAATATCCTGTACGAGCCTGTACAGTATTAGGATGTTAGGAGACAAATGGCTAGTATCTTCAAAACACCAACTGAGAACTTCTATAGCACCGTACTTCTAAAATGCTAAAAGTTTAAATTTCCCTCATTGATTTCCTGACATTGTACATTGATGAAAATATACTGAAGCCTCTGACAAAATTTAAATGATATTAATCACCAAAAATAACAAGGAAAGGCCAAAAGTAGGTAGGGAAAGAATTTCAATGACATTCAATATCATACACGTTTTTTTATTAATAAATTTATAATTAATGGTTTAATGTCTAATGTCCATTTTGATTACAAATTACTATTGGCGAAGGACACTTGTGGATTTTACTACCTTTATAAGAAGTACCAGTAATGTATGTTTACAAAATTTACAAAGCTTTAATAGCGAGTAATATGTGCGTGAAAATCACATTCAATTTAGAAGGAGTGGGTACTATTTTTTTTCCTGAACTTTGCTGCCCTTTATATGGAGTTATGTACATTTGTAAACTTTTATTTTTCTTAAAAAGTAATATGTCTGAAGTTTACAACCTTTATAAACCCAGTAATACATGTCTGTGAACTTTCCATCCACTATAAAGATGCAATATAATTTCATGAAGACTGTAATTTCAATGAAACGTTTGTCATACGAACTGGTTGGCCATCCTGACAAACTGCTCGCTGCAGGGGGTTGCCAATGAGCCTAAGTAGTATTCGTAAGAGATAATGTTCAACATGACGGTCGATACAGGATAATTAGCCTTATTGTTACATCAGAGTCTCGCTCATAGTGACTCCCAAAACCCTAGCAGCCTATTGCTCCACGAACCCTCGCAACTGTCCGTCCAATATTGATTTTCAGGCAACGAGTTTCACGCTATTTTCTCATGACGGGGATTTTGTTTTCATTTTGTTTCGTTTTTTTGGGGGGTTGGTGGTTTGGTGAGGCATCCATCATCGGGGATTAATGGTACTGTAACTGAGCGATCATGACGGGGAGAGACTGGGCTATCCCCTGTTCCAGATTTATGATACAGTCACCATGTTTATTAGCTTCGTTTCAGAACGACTAGAATCCTGCAATTTGGACATTTAACATCAACAGTATTAGCATATTGATTGACAGTGGTGCCAATGTCAGAAATGGTTGGATAATTGCTAGCGGACAAGTGCTGCTAAAGTCACACGACAGGGTGGTAGTGTGCTAACGTGAGGTTACTGAATGTAGCTTCCTTTCCAGTCGCTGCTGCTCGTTATGAAATTAATCATAAAAATTAATGTCATCGTGCATGATATTTAGGGAAGCACAATAACACGCAGTAGAGAAATATTATGTATAACACTAAATAAATAAATAAATGATTTTGTGTGTGTTTTTGCCATTGGTGTTTAAGACAGCCAAAAAAATGAGTAGGCAGCTAGCCATAACGTTTACGGATGCATACCTGTACAAAAAAACCGCTTTATGGTAGAGAGTTGGGTAGGGGTGTAAACGGGACTGCCCAGTATGGGCCAATAATAGGCCCGCTGCAGTTTCCTCCATTCTTATGTTCTTATGTTTTTGGCTCGACACTTGGCCAAAACCGCATTGGACGGAGTTTGCCATTACGTTTTTTTATATAGACAGTTTGTCATGACGTTTTTCTGTGGACAATTGGGTATAAAGTTTATAAGTGAACAGTTGGCAACTTGGCAAGAGTCCAGACTCCTGACTGAAGAGGGATGAAGTGGCCCCCTCAGGCAAGTCATCCTCATTGCCGACTTCCCTACAGTACCGTAGATATATATATATATATATATATATATATATATATATATATATATATATATATATATATATATATATATATATATATATATAAGAGTTTTCATAAGCACGTGGATCAAAGATTTAAATATGCCGATTAAATGTGAATTAACATAATTATACTATATTCGTTTATAATAAGATAATGTAAAGATCTGTGAATCAGTTACAGTTGGTAAATTAAATTTTTTTTGTATAATGTCTCAGTAAAATTTGTCACAAGCCAGCAAAGAGATCAAGTAGCTGAACTCTACGTGGGAGGGCACAAGGTAAACCACTACCCTCCCTCCCTTTTAACTCCGACTTAGCTACTGCCTTCGTTAAGCGTGTACTGGTTGGGTTACACAGATATAATGTTACGTAGTGTGGACAGGTTTCGTTAATGTTCGGTTTGGATTTCATTACGCTATGATGGATTTTTCCGGTTAAAAATTTAAAAAGTAACGCAGACGATGTGGCCGGCCAGCCAGCCACTCGGTGAACTTAGTGAGAGCAGCAGGTGGTGGCGGTGTCCTCCAGCGAGCGTTGGCCGCGGGCTAGTGTGACGGAAGGGATAAAACAATGACCCAACAGTTGCCGAACCTGAGCCCAATACCGTCGCTTTCTTTCTAAAATCAAGGCATTGAAACCTATTGGGATGGCCTAAGTATGACGAGTTACCCGTAAAAGTTATTCTCATTTGTGATCGACACACGTTTATTGATGTATTGGTCGACTGGTTAAATTATCTTAAAAATTAACACACTAGGCAACATATGCTGAGTAAATTACGGAGCTTCCGCTCGATTGTCCATTGCTAAAAATTCCCTCCTGACAACCAATATTAAAATAAAAAAGAGGAACGATATGAGGACAGGAATTTCAGTGATAACGTCTATCAAAACCACTTATTATGAAAGGTCGTTTTATCAGTTCAGGTCAGCACCAGCTGTGAAAACGATTGAGTACAATGACATTGGCTTTGCGATCGTCGTCCTACGCTATCAAAACATTAATTATTCAATTATAATGTCCTCGTAACAGCAGTGTTGAAACCTCCAGCTCCTGTGGAATAAAATTAGATAACTTATCGAGGCTTACACACAGCACTGCCACTGATAATACACACAAAATAATTCAATTCTTTAGTGTGCTTTCGCAATTGGCATTTATATATTGCTACAACATGTAACAAAAAAAAGCTTAATTAAACGACACAACGCCATTGTATTAGTCCTCCGCATGTGAGAAGAGTGAAATACTGTACAAAACAAAGCGATATTGAAGAACGGGTTTAGCTTATTTATAGACTATCCAGACAACACTTGCGGAAACACTTGAACCATTCTCAACGTTGAGATAACAACATAACCTCCCCTAATTCATGGAATGATCGAAACAAAAACTAACTAGAATCGCATACATAAAATGGCGTGGCAATGGGAAGTTTACATATATAATGTATATACGTGGACCACGACAGATGGGGAGGTACTGGAGGGGGTATATCCGGTGCGTGCAACAATACTGTACACGTGTGGACACAGGCGATGATCAACCTGTTGCACTATCATGCTGCAGTATTACAAGCCATGTGTACAATAATTTGTTATATGGCTAGAATGATAATGATATAAAGACTATACAAAGTCCTTTTAAATAATCTCAGCTAAATCTGACATACAAATTCACGACTTCCTAGAAAGTGTCCAGAAAGATACGGCATTAACACATTACTTTCTTCCCCTTCAAAAATTCTGGTTGTACGTCCACCAGTCTGGCTGAGTTAGTTTTAAGTTTTAGATCTTGCTGTGTTAATGTTATCTGACTGGCGAGATGCTCAACAATTTGGTAGAGAACAAAAGATACTCATTATTAATATCTTATACTGTACGTGTGTCAATACGGTCTTCTTTAATCAATGAATGGACCTGATAATGTAAAATGAAAGTTGAATTTTCACAAATGTAAGCTATATTCTGGGAAATGTAAAGTGATCGAAGCAACGGCAACATTGTACAGATTCACATTTGCCGCCAGGAAACAAATATTCTGTATTAAAATATATAAACATAATTCTCCAGCGTGTGCAGGTGTGTGAGGCAGTAACATGTGTACTGCATGTTACGTTAACACGTATACATCACCTGTTACCACGGTGTGTCGCTCAAAGTTGCTTTTCCACACAAGAGTTAAAAAAGTTTCCAAACCAGAATATGCACATAGTGACGTCACCTGTTAAC